GACATAGTCAACGAAGCTAACGGAACAACAAGAACTGAATGGGTGAGAATTCAATATGACATGCTTCCTAAATATTGCAGACATTGTAAACTTCAAGGGCATAATGAATTTGAATGCTGGAGGATACACCCTGAACTATATGTGGAGAAGGAGAATGACAACTATGCAGATACAGCTAAGAAGCAGGACATAGGGAACTCACAGCCTATAATGATGTTATCTAGTGGAAAGGTCGTGGGTAATGTGAATGTTACAGCAAAAGAGCAATGGAAGGAAGTGAAGGACAACAGAGTTAGAAATGTAGTAAATCAAAATACTAGTCTCACTAATAATGAAATGGAGATGGCACCACCTAAGCAGTTTGAAAATAATAAGAACAGGGAGGGTACAAGCACTATAGAGAGACAAGTAGAAGCACAAAGCAGCAATGATAAGGATTTGGAGGCAGTAGACAATGAAGATAATGATCATGTTCAAGTAGCTAATAAGTTTGCAATATTACAAGGGATGGTTGAAGAGGAAGAACCTGTTAATCAATTGGCAATGGTGGCAGCTAATGTAGCAACAAACATTTCAGCACTTCATAACCAAGCATCTACAAAGCAAAAACAAAAGAATATGGTCAATAATTGGGGAAAGTTAAATCCAGCAGCACAAGCGTTTCATCTTAACTCATCGGGGATTATTTCGAATAATGGTCTAGACAATGGAAATGAGGCATCAAAATCAAAAAACGATGCCGCACAATGGGTAGAAAGAAGCTTCAAGGATAAAACAGGAGAAGGAATTGTGAAGATCAATAAACCATGCCAGGAAATCCCATAACAAGATACATTAGTGAACAAGGTACTTAATAAAAATCCAAATTCTCAAGCAGAAGGGTCAAAATCGTCTACATTTAAAGAAAGAGTGCAAGAATGTGGAGGCAGGCTATGGGAGGCACAAAGAGAATACGATTCAGAGGAGAACGAAGTACCACTAGGAGCACAAGCTGATGATGAACCCAATGAGAATGACAAAGAAGAATATGAGCAAAGTGTAAATGGAGAGATTCATGCCAATGACAACAATACAACTGGTTTTCATTTAATAAAGAAAGGATCAAAAAATCTTGAGCACATCAATAATTTTCAGACAGCAGAAGTCACAGAAATTAGCAACTATGAAGGAAGAGGCCCAGAGGTAAATGATCCTGGAGGAACAGAAGAAGATCAACTTTAGAAATTACAAGAAGATCCACAAGGACACATCACAACAGAGAAGGAGAAACAACCAAAACAAAAAACAAAAATAGTAAATATTACTGTTACATTGGAGAAAAATCAGGTGCAGCTGTTAAAAAGAGGAGAAGAGAAAGCCTTGGTCCCTAAAAAGAATGCATTTGGAGCTACATCAGCAGGGACGGAAGACAATGAAGAGGAAGAAGAACCTGGTAAAACAGGATACGACATGGATCAAGAATCAACTACCCAACACTTTATGAATGCTGCAAGGAAAGGTGATTTATCACCTACGCAAGTGGAAAAGGCAAAATCAGCAGCAAAAGGTAAGAAGAAGCAACAAAAAGATAATTTTGCAGCACCAAAAGCTGGGGTGCACACAAGGAGAACGCTAACTAAATCCAACAATCAGTGATGAATGCCTCATCTGGAATATAAGGTCAGTCAACACACAACAGGCCTTTGAAAGGTTGACAAAGATGCATAGGCAAAATCACTATGCTTTTGTAGGATTAATGGAGACAAAGTAACAAGCAAAAAAACTGGAAAGGTACAGAAACAAGATAGGACTTGCACAGGCAATTTCAAATGT